TCCTGCCCTCCTGCCCTCCTGTCAGCAGCCGTAATCCCCACCCCTGGCCGTCCACCTGCCAGAAAACAGATTCCAACAGTCGCCTCAGGGACACAGATCTCTTTAACCAACTGGCCTTTCGCCTGATCACTTCTTTCTACAGAGACATCTCAGGATCTGGAGCCTCGCTCTTTTTATCTCTCTCACTTATCTGGTTGATGCTTTTATAAAAAAACTGCACTCTATATGTCCTTTTTCATTCATATTTGATCAGAAATATCACTCTGTAATTTGAATAAATACAGACATACAAAATGGGGGCAGTAAAGGTTCATTATTCCTGTTAAAGTAGCAGATCACGAAGAAGCATTGTGTGTGAGTAACGGTTTAGGGTCTGTGTGGAAACTGATGGAATCCTCTGTACACAGCTTGAAACCATCTTGAACTTGAGCATCTTGTAGACCAGGCTAGAATGTTAGTAAGAATGGAACTAGAAAAAGTGACACATGTTGAAGTCATTCGAGTAGGGAGCTGCATTGGTGTACATTGGCAGCAAAGGAACAGGTAAAGGATTATTCCACCCTGAAAAGTAGAAACAAGAAACACTTCTCAAACAAGAAACACTTCTCAGCATTGGAGCTTCACCAGGCGTGGTGAGCTTATGAGGTGTGCTCACACCTGAGGACCCCACAGCTGAAACGTGTTTCTTCTCCCTGCTTCCACCAATTGTGGAATTAATTTAACTTCTTCTTTCACATAGAGGTGGTATTGCACTTTATAGCATTTATGACAGAAATATTAATGTTCACAATTATGGGTATCAGGTAACACTCCAGACAGACAGCCTTAAAGAGATGTTTCCCTGTTCACATAAAACACAAATTGCAAATTGTCTGTATTCTCTGCCATTTTTAAAAGTCATTGTTCTGTTTTTTTTGTTTTTTGAATTATATAGTTTCTGAATTTCACAAAAGATGAGGAAACATTTTTCTGGTAACACATTAAAGATCATTACTGTCTTCTCAGCAAGATAATATTCTCATATATATTTTAATGTGTTGAATGCTTTTCCTTGGAGAAGGAAGCCCTTTCAGGGGGAAATGATCTAGAAAGGAACATCTGTGCAAGGAAGAACTATCAAGCGGCAAATTACTGTGAGAATGTGAGGCACAAAAAAATGATTTATGAAATCTTTATGCAAGCTACATTTGACTGATTTAAGAAAAAAATGATATATAGATCTCAAAGCTCAAAACGGATAAACTTATTAACCACTATAAAACAGTAAAAAATACTTCTGTAAAGAATCCCTGCTGATGGGAGACCTGGTGAGGTACAAATCCAGTGCAGAACCCGAGAGTCAGCTTTGCTCTAGCATTTCTTAGAAGCTAATAGATACAGTACCAGTACATTTACTGTAAATAAACTTTAAAAAAACAGTTCAAGGCTATGATCCTTTATCATTTTAAGAGTCACTGTCATGCCCACGAGAGTATTTCATAATCACCTGTCTAATTGACTTGTTCAATTAATACAAACCTTAAGATTGCCTTTCATTAAAAAAAAAATGTAATTCTGAATTTATACAGTTATAGTGCAGCAGAGCAGACAGAAAACTAATTTCTGAGCTTCATAGACATTGCACCTGTTAAAGTTATTTGTGAAGTGTCCTAATATTTGTTCTCTATTGTACATAGTAGGAATGTGCACACATTTGTGATATGCAGTACTGTACATACAGTATATGCACTTAACAAGTCACCCAATCTTTTGTTAATTTAACCTGTTTGGGGTTTTTCTCAGGATGCCCAAGCTGCACCCGGGGCAGCTGCTCTTGCTCACTGTATTAACTTCCAGAACAAGCAGAAATGACAAACACAAGATCAGAATAAGTGAAGCTGACTGACAGACGGCCATTCAGCCACATCATGCGCCTATGTGTGTTCTGAACGTGTTGTGTAATAAAGGCCATACCAGCACTGATACTGATCTTTTAACATCATTTCCTGTAATGTTTATTGAAACAGAAACATGCTAATTCAAACCAGCTTGCTGTAATGATAACAGCGATGATAAAGCAAGCAATGAGATTGTTTTGCTGTGGCGTCACCATGTGGCTCAAATACTGTACATTCCCCGGTCTACTGCAGCAAACAGAGTGCAAGAGGCAACAAAGGCAGCACAGCAACATGTTTTCCTAAACTCTACTGAGACACTACTTGTGCACCTGCATTCATCAGCCATGTCTCACCCCCGCAGGCACACAGACAGGTGGGACCCAATGGAGGACTTAAGGCATGATGACCCATTAATGCCCACGAAAGCTGCAGGAGTCGCTGTTGCACTGTCACAGCGAATGACTAAAGGCTCCCAGAGTTGGTGCTTGGCCAGCATTGCACCAGTCAACAATCTGTTTTAATCTTTAAGATTTTTGTATCTCACTTGTGTGTGTGTGGGTGAGATCCTACGTTAAAAATTGTGCTACTTGAAAAAATAAAATATTTCACATACTCAAGTGCTATCAGAAAACACAAAAATGAATACCCAGATTCTTTCATTAATGGGATAATTTATATCTGCTGCGTGACCAACTTCATAATGATGACAAAATATATATGTGTGTACTAATGGCACCAGGCACATATGCTAATAAACTGCTGAAGAAAGCAAAATAATTATTATTAACATTTTGTCAGGGTGTATTGTTTTTCTGCAGACTTTCACACCCATAGCAGACTATGTGGGTGTCACAGGGGACTGGTATCAACACACGGCATTTTGGGAGGAGTCAGGCTGCAGACTGACACAAATACCTGGGTATTTGACTGCACCATTGTTGAGCAACAATGCCATACAAAATAATTACATTTTGAAAATGCAGTTAGGAGAAAATCCAGTATTTGTGTGCAGCTTGAGAGATGTAAGAACAGACATAAGTATCAAATGGCAACTTTATATTTCAAAAAGAAAAACTATCCACAAACATACTGTATACTGTACATCTCAAATATCTAGTTAGAGACCAAAACATTTTCTTAGACATGACCAATTGTATACCTCATTCAAAACTTGAAACTGAGCACAGGAAGGCCTTATTTCCTTTTGCTTTTCTAATGTGATTTATTATGCTATATGTATAACATTTTTGCTCTGTGCTTGAAATGGGAGGGAGAAGTAATAATTGGTTATGTGTAGAGTAATATACTGTAGGTGTGTGAATGTGAGCACTGAAACCCCTCAGAAACACAACTCAGTGTGAGTTAACCAGTACCAAGTGCTTTGTCATGTGTGATGAGGATACAATAAAAGCTTTTAATGTGCCCATAGATCATTCTAAAGGCCTTTTTGTGCTCCTCATTACCTCCTCAATATCATGTAACCTGAGAGGAAAATTCAGTAGAAATGGTCTAACTGTTTTTTACTGGTGACCAATTTCTTCCAGTTTTGAACATTTCTGATCCCAGTACCAGCCATTTTAGTACAGCACCACCTTTTAAAGAGGCACTTTACATCTTACTGGAATGATCATATTATCTGTCCGAGCAAACTTGTGAACATTTTATATATTTCACATCAAGAAATACCAGTTCACAGCTCTTGAAATGAGCTTCCAATTTCCACTGGACACTACTGAACTTTTGAAGAAGGAAAAACTGAGACAACCCTCTGCAGCTGCTCAGTTCGACCCAGCCCAGGACAACTACAGGGCAACAAGAAAGAGAGATGAAATATTGTTTGTTTCTGACGTCCAACTCACTGGGTACCATGAAAGCCACCGATCCCTCACCTCACACAAGGTGACTGATGGCGACATCATGATGACATGATGCAAACCTGCAAACCCTTGGGCAGTGAGGAGTGGTCCTGAGAAGCTGCAGCTGTCGGTCTTGTTCGCTGATGGTAGAACAGGTCAAACAAACTGACTTAAAACTGAAGAGGGCCTCATCACCAAGCCTGCTGATGTCCACACAAGAGCATGATATTGTTTGGGCAGCTGGAGTCAGCTTGAGGAATCTACTTGTTGTTGATGGCACATTGTACAGCGTAATGTTCACATCACCTCTGCTAGAGCTACAGAAGCTGTTAACAATTAACAGCATCAACAATGCCAAGTAATACTCATCATGCCATGGCAAAGGTCACTGAAGATGTTCTCATGGATTGTAGCTCTACTGAGCACGAGCCAAAATAATGTGGTAGACATGGATTCAACTGACACTTTCGGGCCGCTGTTTCAATGACTCAGTGAAGACCTGTGTTGTGTGCAATGTCTCCTTTAATGTACTGTACACCCCTTTGTTTCCATGCGTGTGTTTAAAATAATGACTGGTAAGGCAGCTATGGACTATTTACATAGGAGTACTTGAAATGAATATATCAATTCAACTTTTAAGCATTTTTGTCAAAAACATATTTCTAGCATCACAACCAAAATTGAAGAAAACTGCTTGAATCTTGGGCTGCATTTCTAAAAGGGCATTTTGATTCATGATCTACTGCAGATCCATTTATTCAGTTTTTGCATTGTAGTTCTGACATACATCTGAAAATACACTCCATTCCATTATCTTAATACGACAGAACTTTCTTTTAATTTTAGAAAGTATTATGACTTATAATTTTAGTATTTTACATAGTTATAAAATGGAATGAATGTTTTTATTTTTTGTGGGTTGGTTGCAGCTGAAAGTCTTTACTTCAATAAGATGCTTGGTACTTAATTGAATGTGACTATTGTGAGTTCCCATAAATAAAAAGATCCTCCTTGCAGGAAGATAAATATATTCATAAAATAGTTTTCAAAGTGGTTCAACCTAAGTGTCAAAGAAAGATCAAAAGAGCTTTCATCTAAAGGTTCAGTCACGGACATAAACACCCCGTACATGTGGATGCATTTCAAGCCGTACTGTGGACTTAAAAAGAAGTCCTGTGAGCTCAATCTTGAAAGCAAATGTAGCATAAAAGACAAAGTCAGTTACTTTTCATTTCACACACAGAAAACACAGATGAGTAGGCATTCAGAAATTTAAATTACGTGTAATGTTTTATAGAGAGTAGTGTGCACTGGAAATGCAAAAGGCACACGTTTACATTAAGGACCAAGGGTGAATTAAACAGGCTGCATACATGTGTACATTTAAACACAATCAACTATTAATCAGATCATTGCAATACATCTGCAGATATTTGGCTGACACTTTTGCCCAAAACATCTTACACTTGCACCCATTTATGTGCATTTTCTAGATTCCTCCCTGTTGTTATTGCTTAAATGAATAAGACAGTAAGACCTCCCAATGCAATTCATTTAGTAGTGCCTAGCTACCGGTGTAAACAATAGTAAGGCCACATGGTCTGCAGCAAAGTTTAGAAGTGCGTCCCACCTCAATGCCAGTGCATCAAAGGTACCGCAGGAGAAATCCACCTCAAAGCCCTGCGTCCAAGACACCACTGTCTCCTGCACCTCGCCTGCAGAGGCGGGAATCTCAGGCAGGCAGGCAAGAGACGAACAGCGGGTGGGCCGGCACCTTCGAGTCCATGAACACTCCTGGGAGGACAGACTGTGTGAGGCTGCCATTACTGTGGAGCAACTGGCTGCCTGGAGAAAACGCCGTTCTCTCACAGTCCCCTACAATCTGTCCAGGCCTGACGCTACCGCTCTGTCCGCAGGTGAAGACAGCGCCAGCCACCCCTAAACTGATCCCGAGCCATCTCAGCCCCACAGACAGCAAGACGGTGGTGTTACAGGGCTCCGTGCACTCCAACCTGTTCTCTCCTGATACTCTTCGATCCTTTTTTAACAGTTTGGATTTTCCATACTTTCACATGATAAGATGATTTCTTTCCCCTGGTTGCAGGACTGGTTTGTAAGCAATCGTTTTCTCTCCTGATTTAGCACACATTTCTAACATATTTCAAGAAAAAACTGCTGACGTTGCAGATTGTAGACTGTTTAGAGCCTAGGCCGCCCTGATAACCTAAGCACAAAACTGAGTTCACTTTGGGAGACGACAGGATCATTTCAGAAAACTAGAAGACAGTTTTCCAGATTTGGATTAACAGATGAAAATAAATAGTGTCTTTAGTGGTTTTCACAAAAAATACATTATTTTAGAACACCCCCTTATGAGATGTGTAATGATATTATACATAATAAACAAGAGTGTGATAAGATAGAAGTACCAGCTTCTTGTTGCTGTGAGGCAGCTTTTGCATGGCACTTCAACTTGCTTATCCTTACATTACCGCAGGGTTATCACTGGTAAGAAACTCTAGCAACGAATCAAGATGTAAAACAGGATCTGAATTCAACATAAGAGAAAGCATAGAAAATTGAAGGATGTTAAGATAAGGGGTAGAGAGGAAAGCCGTTGGGATAAGATTTTACAGTGTAGTATATTCAGGGAAGCTTGATTTGGGAAACTTATTAAAAATAAAGAAGCTCTAACTGGTTCAGTTAAATTAATGGCATTACTAATAATAGGAGGGACAGAAAAAAATATATTTGTTGATCTTTCTTTTAAAAAATATAACATTTGATAACAACCCGACTAACACAGACTCTAGAGTGTCATCAGATGGCTGGCTACAATCACTGTTACCAGTAAATCTTTGGTAGGCAGAATTTGATACACAGCAGGTAAACTCGTGCTTTATGACAATTTGTGATACTCCATATTGCTTAAGGTACAAAAAAGTTTAACAATGGAATACGTAATAATCTTGTTGCGAAACTTGGTACTGTAAATGTGGTGCACATACCATTAATCCTCCCATTTCTTTAAAAACAGAAACAAAAATAAACTCTCATAAAAGAATAAAGAAAAATCCCAGGTATATAACCATCCCAAATTTGGGGTCAAAACCTCATTAATTCTGCCTGCAATTGATTCTCCCCAGATAACTTAAATTTTATCACAGAATGTTTTTCCCAGGTCTAGATTATTAAATATTAAGATTTTCAAAACTCCATAAACTATGCATCTTGTTGTTTAAAGTGCCCGTATGGCGCAGGGATGACGTGCTGTCTAGGAGTTAACCCAGGGCAGCCTTCTCCCCACAAAGGTTAGACTCTGAGGAGGTTCTGACCAGAGAATTGAGACAGTTTTTTGCCTCAAGAAATGATGAAAGATCTGAATGCTTCTGGGTTCCCTCTTTTTCCAGTAAATCTTTGCCAGAATCCCTTCCGTTCCTCACCCATTCAGTCTAGGAAACCTCAGAAATACATCTCACATGAAACTGCTCGGGAACTTTTCCTGGGAACCGAATGGCTTTGTCTTTTGGCTTTCTCCTCTAGAGCCAGAGCAGGTGTTTGTGTTAACGTGTGCACGTTTCTATGGGTGAAGTTGTACACAGCACACATTCACAGTCTGCCGTCCCAGCCCAGAGAACCAGGGCTGCCATCTTCGCTGGACGAAGAGGCCTGGTGAGAGACACGCTGCCACGCCAGCCGCGGGCAGGGCCAGAACAGCGTGCGCCTGGGCCGGTCAGGTGCCCTCAGGGAAGAAAGGAGAGGAGGGAGTGTTATCTGCGTCCCAGGAATCCCGCCTGCCTGTTGGCCACCCGTGTGCAGGACGCACAGCAGGCAGTTTTGTAGTAGTTGTAGACACAGAGGCGGGCCTGGACAACAACGTTGCAGTTGAAATACTTGTCTCTGCAGTTCTCATCTGCAAACAAACACAGCAGGTTCAGAGAGTCAGTACAGAACTGCATATTCAAGTAGGCAGCTGCGTCAGCATGCGTAGGCTGCAAAGGAACAGGTGAAGGTTTATTCCATTTATTGACACCTGAAGAAGGCTCCACAGCTGAAACGTTGTGTCTCGTTTGCTTTCCTTTCGGCATGCAATAAACCTTTACCTGTTCCTTTACAGAACTGCATGTGTCAAGCCACACTTCACTTTCCCCCACAGACAAGCCTTCCATGTTTGAAAACCTCATTAAAGGATTGTGGAGAGGCCCCCTTTTATTGGGTAGCGTGGCCAGGGGGTCTCACCATGAACTGTAACCTTATCTTTTCATAACACGAAACACCTCAACCCAGACAGCAGTGGCAGTAACCTCGCTCGTCGACTGCAGTTGGCCAGGAGCGCTCTTCAACCTTCTTCTTACTTACTGGCGCCCCAACCCGGAAAACGTCCGAGGCTGACATTGTAACCTAATCCCGCTATGCTCACTGCTTCATAAACTTGAGGGCTCTGTGGAAAGGCCCTGTGGAAAAGGCAACCTTCACTGCCTCAGGAACCACTTTTATAGGGAGCAGAAGTCACCAGTTGCAGCCAATTCCCTGATTTCCCTGTGAGAATCCAAAGAATGTGGCTCTCCTGAATACAGTGACTCCGCCCCTTGACGACTCACCCGTGCTTCCAGTCACAGCTTTGCTACATGGATGTACAGTATAAGTACAGTATAGTCCAGCAGTATGTTAATCCTCATATATTCAAAAATGTCTCAGTAGTACTAATAACCAAAGCTGAAATAAAAAAAAAATCCTCATCATCAGTATGAGTTTATGTAATTAACAGCTGTTGACCTTTTTAAGTTGCGTTATGAGTTTAATGTCATAGATTCTTGAGAGGCACAGTAGTGCGGTGGTCTACATTACTACTGTAGCTCACAACACTGTCACCCTGGTTACAGTTCTCCCCCTGTGCTCATGTTGGTTTCCCCTGGGTGCTCCGGTTTCCTCCCACACTCCAAAGACATACTGGTGGGTTAATTGGCTTCTGGGAACACCGGCCCTGACGTGAGTGTGTCTGTGTCTGTGTCTGTTGCCCTGCGCCGGACTGGTGTCCAGTCAAGGGTGTATCCTGCCTTGTGCCCACTACTTGCTGGGATTGGCTCTGTCTCCCTGTACTGGTTAGAAACGGATGGATGTTATAGATACAGGTCTCCAGTAAAACTGATATGGGGATCAGGAAGCCGGGCCTCTGCAGCGTGTCCACTGTCTACACTGCGTCCTCTTGGCTTGGAGGCGGGAAGTCAGGCTATTGCCTGGATTGGATTCTGGCCACAAGTCTCACACAGTCACATTACTGGGGTCTATTATTTATCATTGGGGTTTGTCTACTCCTGAACTAAAGATCCTAAGAGCCACGTCCCCAGAGATGTTGAGAGCTAGCTCTTGTCTCTTTGGGTTTCTGCAGTGGTCTGGCTCTCACACAGAATCGTGTGGCTGTGTCGCCGTCACGCAGGATTCTGCTGTTGACTGACTGAACCGACACTGAAACTATTAACTACTTCACTATAGGGATTGCTTTAAATATTCTTATTGGGTTTTCATTGAAATGTATCTGGGATGATTTTCATCTCAGTATGGGAAATTCTGCTCTTTGTTTCTTTTTTCCAGATGGAACAGCATGATGCCCTGAAACACTGCAGTATTTCTGCTCATACAAATATTTACCAAAACTATCTGTTTCATGGCTAAGCGTCAGCTTCCTCTTTTTGAAATGCAGTGGAAAAACTGTACCGTATAGAACATCAAAGTTAAGTACCTCCTCCACCGTGCAGTCTCTAGCTAAAGCAGAAACACAGCGCCTGGACAGTGCAGAGTCTAACAATCCCAGAAACCCTCATGAGGTCCAGGTCTCACCAGATTTCACTACAATACTCCTCTGCACTGCAGAATGAAAACGAGTACAAACCTTTCCTACCTTTTCCTTATGGTACTAATGTTTTTACGCAGTTTTGTGTGATTTTCAGTGTTCTGTTTGCTGACCATACACCTTCCTTTAAACCCTGCTGACTGCTTTTAGATTCTTTTAGCTGTACAATAGAAAGGGAAAGTGCTCAGCTTGACAGGTAACGCATTTTTTAATCAAACGGCAATATTTTTGTATTCAACTTTCATTTAAAAGCAAACACACTCCTGCTAGATATGGGAGGTTGAGTAAATGATACCTATTTGTTTTAATCTTTTTTGTACTCGTATGTACTCATTCAGTATGATTTTTCATTACACTTGCCAATAACTCATTTACACACAAATTTCAGCAGAACATTACCGAATACAGTTCTTTCATCACAATAAGAGATGTGTTTTCTCTTTCTGTTTCTGTGCAGCCCAGGGCCAGTCATGTAAATCTTTATTATGACCATACACATTTGTGAATTTTATTATTTTAGGCATCATTTTGTAAAGTTGAAATGACTGGTAAATGCTAAGAGCTTCCGGCACAATGAGCGATTTTCTGGTTGTCACTCAGCCTGACCTGCCTCTGCACTCATGCATTGACACAGTAAATTCTGCTCTTCCAGCAACCCAGACAGCAAGACGAAAGCACTTAACAAATCTAGCAGACAGTCAAAAGAGGCTCCATTCGGAATCATACTTTCACATGCCTCCTTGTCATCTCAGCCCCACCTGACTCTTTCACACTTATCTGACTTTCTGGGCCACTGGGGGATCCCTGGATTCAGCAGGGCAGTGATGCAGGCTGATAGAGAGTTGCCATTTCAATCCACATTAGATAGACAGGGCAGAGGCTTTTACTGCTGAGCTGCTGGGATAAATGCTTCTGAGATGATGGTGTACCTATCTGTGATACACAGGGGTCCGGATTACAGGTCTCTCTCTCTTCGGGACGCAGATGGGGTTCACAGCTGTCACTGGGTGTCATGTCATCCGAGAGGCACCGGACCTCTCGCACCCGAAATCCACCCTCACAGGACTTTGAGCACTGCAGAGAGGGAGAGAGGCGTCTCAGGCAGAGTGACTGGTACAAGCTTGTCCACACCAGGGGAAAAGGCTGCAATGTTTCGCATCACAGCACTGGCCACAACTTGCATGCAGAAGAGTTTAAGCAACAGGCTCATTCTACAGCTCTTCCATTGTCCCAGAGATGCCCTGGGACTGGAGGTAAAACATGATTACAAGAGAATGTCCTAAAATGGTACAAGACAACGAAACACCACTGGTAGAAGAGAAATACAGGTGGTATGCCCAATCCGGGCATTAGACTCAAGGAAAGAAGAAAAGAAGACTGCCAAGAAGGTATTCTCTGATATCTTCTCAATTAAGGTCCTGCCTCAGTACCCCTCTGTAGGTTATAGCAGTGGTTCTCAAACTGTGGTACGCGTACCGGTTGTGGTATGCTGAGCGCCACCAGGCAGTACGCCATATGACCCCGGAACGTTGTTTTGTGCACTGAAAAATTGGGATGGGTTTTCATATTTTCTATTTTAATAAAATTAGTTTGTGTCGAATACACAGCCTACATACTACGATACAGTGTGCTCCAATACTTGAGTGGACACAAGAGCTACTATGTAATTCTATACCATTGCATAGGAATGCATGCTACGAATGCAAGTGACCAATTGTATTTAAAAAACTTAACTCCAGCAAATAGGGAGGTAGGAGAATGTGTGTGATTTTGGAAAAATGCCAATGTTGTAAGCACAAGAAAGCATAGAAATGCGTACTACGAATGCTGTCAATCTTGTGAGCACAGGAAAGCGTGATAGATAACAGAAAAATATTTAAGAACTATTCTAGGTTAATTTGAGAAAAATAAAAATACACAGAGCGTCCCTGTTTCTCTCCCATGCTCATGAAATAAAAACATCTGGGACAAACTCGTGAAATGGAAACAGGGAAAATGCAAGCTTGCGGATTGCTAAAGCAGGTAAGGCCCACACTACCTGCGAAGAACAGCTCAACCTGCTGCCCCCTCTGAAAGACACAGTCACTCAATTATTGAAATGGCGGATGATGTCAAAAGTACGCTGATAGAGCGCTATAAGTATTCTTCTGCCAATCTGTAGACTTAGGCATTGGCTGCCCTACTCTTGAACCATGGACTGAACACTTTTGGGATCACTTCTCTCTATCCTAAACAAGTGAGCCCAAACCACCGTCACTCAGTATCCGTCACTTAAGATCTCTTCTCTGATACTCAAATATTTCTGTACCAAGACTGGTGTGTTTTATGACATGACGGTATTATTTCTCTTTCAGAGCATTTGCTACACCTTTATTTTCTAAATCACTAATATTAGATGTCATTTAGTTCTTGAGTGATTTAACCTGAAAACTATACTTTATATTAAAGATGTTTGAATTTGGGAAGACATCTACCTGTTGTAGATGGCAGTACATTAAGGAGAGGGTCCACATGTGAGCGAGTGGGAATGTCTTTCCTGTTGAACCCCAGGACAACAGTTAGTGTTTACATTACCAGAACCTGTCAGGGAGCAGGAAGTGCAGAACAATTAACAGATAAAATCCAGAGCAGTGGGTGATGGCCAGTGCAACTGCGGGATGGAAGTAATCAGCACACACCAGAGTAAGAGAATAATATAAAAAGAAAGGGTATGAGTAATGCTAATTGAGTTAACACAATCTCTCTGGGGAGATCAACCACAAAGCCATAAGATATTGGCAGACGGGAATTGTTTCCATCCAAGTGTCTAGGAGAGGGAGTCCCAGGGGAGCTCATACACAGGACCACCCGGTACTCACTGTGCTCCAGTCAGTGTGGTACCACTTGGCTCCGCAGGCTTTGAGGTAGCAGCTCTGCTGGCTGGCTGGGCGCTCCAGATAGGAACAGTCTGAGGGCTGCAGCACTGTGAACCCATCTGCAGAGCTCCGGAGGCACACCACCGCCCTGTGCTGCGTCCCATTGCCACACTCCGCAGAACACTGGGCCAAGGGGTCCATGAAAGAGAGCAGAGAAAACATGCCTTTGTTTGCACGTAGCACGAGGAGAGTGTGACGAGCCTGGGGCTGCATCAGTGTCTTCTGTGCCACAGCACACCTGGGAAGGTGTGTGTTGTGATCGCCAACCGCAGAGGGAAGGAGATGTGCACAGGAGAGCCGATAGCTCTACCTGAATGGAGAGCAACAGTCTGAGGCTGGGAGTGAATCAGTCTTTCTGTAAACGCATAAGCTCCAAACCCAGGTCTTGACAGGGTCTTTCTGTCTGCGAAAGGCTCTTCCTATTGCCCAGTGAAAGCTGCCTACAAGTCCTGTCTCACTGCACTTTCACCTTGGCCCAGTTTACAGGATGTCATCTTTGCTTTAGTCATTCAATTATAAAAACAAATAGAAAACGAGGGCACAAGAGTTGAAATACTCTTAATATAAAAAACAATAACTTTAAAATTTTAACAATTCTGCTGTTGTTGATTTTTAACTGTTGATCACTGCCTGTTAATGTGAATCTTCTGTACCACACTTCAGGGGACTCGAGGAGCAGGATTTCCTACAGACAGGCCTGTTTTGTACCACGATGTTGAGGAGTTATGGAGTCATTAGTTTGGTATTTTGGCTCTGCTTGTTTTTTGTTTCAAATCTACTTCTGTGTTGGGATCTCTACATTCTTCCTTATTTTTAATGATAAACTGGAAACCGAATTGACTTTATTAATTGAGACTGTTACACAGGACTGGTAGAGAGCTTTGGAACTCTGAGCCTATAGGAAGACTTACACTGAGTTCACATACCGATACAGTGAATTGCTGGACATTTTGTAAGCTAACAGCATATTACAGCATGGGGGTGCAGGTTGAGCCCTGTAGTCCAGACAGAACCAGCTCCAGCCTGGCTGCGTCAGTGGCCAATGTGGCCTGGATTCCCAGTGGGACAGCAGACCGATGGCCAAGCACCACGCCTGCCCAGCTGGGTACTTTTGTCTCACTAGGCAGCACTGGCCTTGGGCCTGGCTGGGTGTCTGTGCTGTCAGAAAGGGAAGCATCACTGCCACAAGGAGAAAGGCCTCAGATGTAAACAGCAGTATTACCAGAAGAAATACATACTTAATAACTGAACATTAGAAAAGCTAAAAGAAAGAGGAGGCCATTTGACACACCTAGACCATTTGGTGCTTAGTACTTTTTTTCCAAGTTCTTAGTACTTTTATCCAAGGATCTCATCCAGCTGGTTTCATGAAAGGAACTAGGATTTGGCTTTAACAAAATAACTGGGTAGCCTGTCCATACAGGCGCGACAGTTGTTTGTTCTAGGTTTTTCAAGCTTATGTGGCAAAAAGCTGGAGATACATGGTACTTATCTTAGAGCTCAGTGTTTGCTTGAGAAGTGTCAAAAACTAAAATAAGAATGATGGAAAGCCATAGCACAATACGACACTAATACAAGAAGGGATCTAAAACGTGAGTTTATCTGACTGAATGTGGGATTAGGCAGCTACAGTATATTTTGCACACATATTGCTTTCCTGATTTTGTGTGTGGGATTCACCTTTGATTGCTCCGTTACAGACATAGTGTAACACACACTGACACAGCTCCCCTCAGCTCTGTATTAGACTCTGGTGAGTCTAATTCATCAGCGCAAGTGTTATGTGGCATGGCTGATCCTCTATAAGCCTACACGGGGCCTGCTTGATAAGCCATGCAGCCTGGAGGCCGCTGGTGGAAAGCCAGACTGTAATACTTTGCATCAATAAGGAGCTCGCAGTGTGTGTCCCTTGACTTGTCTAGCCCTGCTGGGGTGCGAGGCTGCTGTTAGATGGGAACTTGTCAGCTTGGGTGTTGCCAGAAAGGGCCGGTTCTAGCCCTCACTCTTCCGCTTGACTTCCTGGCTCTGAGGGCAGGAAGCACATGGTTGGACTCTGAGAGCCCACCTCCCAGAGCGTGTGGGTGGGCTTTCTTATTCTTAATCTGCTGCAGGACTGCAGAGGTAAGGAGGGCTGCAGATTTATGGGTGTTTTTTTTTAAACTGAATGCCAAGAAGGGAATATGGAAAGAAAAGCTCTCCTTTTTCGAAACCCTAGGGAAAGGAGCAGACGCGAGGCTGGAGAAACGGAGCACGCGCGGCGTGTGTGGTCAATACCTGGCCCCAGCCGCCTGCAAACCACTGCTCTCGGGTCTCACAGGGGCCGTTGTTGCACGCCATGGCCTCTGGGGGGCGCTCGTTCCCACAGCCCTCAAGCGGCAGGCTGCTGATGTGATTGGTCATGCACACCACTGAGCGGCTTCGAACCCCTGCTCCGCAGTCTGCAGAGCACTGCAGGACAGAGAGTGAGAGTAAGCACCTCTCCACACAGGCAGTAATGCGTGGGCCGTTCTGACTCACGAGAGTGGGGATCATAAAAGACAGGTTTGCTCTCATGTTGAGCTTCATACCAACAGCTGTGCGTATGTGAAGGATTTTACTCCTCCACTATCATCGATCTGAAAACAATGTGCAGTTCTTGTCAATGACAGAAACTAATTTGATTATGAAATTAGGCAAAGCCAGAGCTTTGAAATCTAGTTGTTAGTGGAGGCTATACAACTGTCTCGGTGAATTTAATAATATAGCAGGCTAATATTTGTGAGAAGTGCTGTTCCTGTGAATCTGTTTCTTCTGCAAGCAGAAATGAGTGTTTCAGAGTGCAGAAGAAAAGCCACAACTGGGCCTACTGCTGGGATGGGAGGCTTTAGTGATAATCAAGGGGACCCTGGAGGAGATACTAGTGGATAATTCCATAGGACAAATTATAATGTGCTCATTCATTTAGTTATTTGAACTTGAACTGGCTGTTAAGTAGAACAATTCATTGCCAATGGTGAACTGTTCACTGGCGACAGCTTTGTTGTATACAGTAAACTCCAATGGATTTTAGCTCATAATCTGCTATTAGTTAGGCACATTAGTCATATTTTCTATTTTAATAAAATTAGTTTGTGTTGAATACACAGCCTACATACTACGATACAGTGTGCTCCAATACTTGAGTGGACACAAGAGCTACTATGTAATTCTATACCATTGCATAGGAATACATGCTACGAATGCAAGTGACCAATTGTATTTAGAAAACTTAACTCCAGCAAATAGGGAGGTAGGAGAATGTGTGTTAGCCCTATACAATTTCTTGCATTAGGAATTTCTCTTTTTGCATACCCCAGCTTGCTCTCCGTGAGACACACAGACACACAGACAGGGAGAGAAGCTGGGGGTCAGAGCGCAGGGTCAGCAGCCATTGTACAGCGCCCCTGGAGCAGTTGGGGTTAAGGGCCTTGCTCAGGGGCCTAATTGAGTAGGATTCCTCTGCCAGCTGTGGGAATTAAATTGGCAGCCTTCCAGCCACAGGCACAGATCCTTTACCGCAGTGCCACCGCTCCGCCCATCTTGAGAGTTTGTAGTGAAAGAAATTCTGAGTTTAAAACTGCATATTGTCTCTGCTTCAAGTGTATATGTATTATGCTGCAGGATGATGTATCGTTGTATCGTGGAGCACATGGAATGTTGAGACATACTGTACAGTAAGTATGATGAATGTCTGTCCTGGGACTAGTGATGGAAATTGTCCTACAAATGAACATTCATCTCTCGGCTTGACCTGTGGCTGTGGGGCTATTTATTTCACATATCCCTGCAAGATGGGTAGATCCAGACACAGGCATTCATATAGACAGGAAAACAAATGCACTGCCTGATAGACACACAGTTCCATAAATACAAAAGCAGACACAGCTGCCCTGTGCTCGCCCGGCCGCTCTTGAGCTCACCCTGCTGCCCCACTCGGTGAAGAACCAGCTCTTGGCGCAGGGCCCCATGTCGCAGTTCTCCACGTCCTCCGGCCGCAGCTTCATGTTGCACTCCTCGTCCGCCACGATGTCCCCCACATTGCTGACGCAGCGCACCTCTCGGTTCTTCTGCCCCACCCCGCAGGGCACGGAGCACTGTGGAGAGGCACAGGGCACACAGCTCACTCGCGGAGTCGCGGCCGCAGGGACAGGGACAGGCGTCCACCCCTCTGCGCAGGACACGCGCTCTGATTTATTCAGGTGAAGCCTGACTGCCAACCTCCCACACCTCTGGGCAGCACTGTTATCCCCTTGGGGCTCCAATGCGGAACATAAAATTCAACCTGCCGCTGATCTTTACAAGCCAATGCCTCCCTTTTTTACCTACTGTGTGTAAACTGGTTTTAAACCACCTCTCGGTGTGCCAAGACATACAGTACATGTGTGAAGCGGGCAGAACTAGCTCATGACTGATGAATGCGGCTTTACGGTCAAGAACAGGCAATTTCCATGGGTATCCGAGCTACAGTGGCTCGTCAGGCCACAGAGTTTATCCCAGCATCCTTGCGGTTAAGCTGATGAAAGAGCATGTGACTCACAGTCCAGTTTGCTGTAGGAATCATCCCCAGTTGTACCAGAGGGACTGGAACAAGCTGGGTGAAGTAATAATAATAATAATAATAATTGATAATAAATGCTTACACTTATAAAGCACTTTTCTGGACACTCCACTCAAGGCACTTTACAGGTCATGGAGACTCCCCTCCACCACCAATGTGCAGCCATAGTGCACCAGAACGCTCCCCACACATCAGCTTTCAGTGGGGAGGAGAGAAGAGTAGTGAAGCCAATTCATAGTACCTCCCTCGAGGGACAGCAGCAGAGGCTGGAACACTCATCCCATCATGAGACTAGAGACTTACCCTCTAAACTACATCACCCCCATGTCCAAGCACACCAGCAAGAAAGAAACCCCCCAGAGTCGGCACTCCGATTCTAGCCAGTGTGAGAGCAGGTCCTGCCTACCGGGCTCCAGTCCGTCCGGATCTCCCACTCGCTGCAGATCTTCAGCTGGCAGGAGCTGGTGGTCTCTGGCCTCTCCAGGTGCTGGCAGCGGTTCGCCTGGGTGGTGAAGGTCCGGTTGGCGTAGACCTGCCTGCAGAGAACCTGCCTGTGCTGCATCCCCAGGCCGCAGGTCTTGCTGCATTCCGACCACTCGCCGATGTCCCAACTGCAGGACAGGAAGCGGATCA